AGTGCCGTATAAGGATGGCACTTCCTGCATACCCATCACTTCTGTCATCCCTCAAACAGGTGAAACCTGTAACTCGAAACCGAGAACTAGGCAACAACCATGTCTCCGAGATGGCAATAATGACAGGCTTATGCAGGTTGATAATTGAAAATAGTTCATGTTTCTTATTTTTAATACTTTTACTGTTCCATTGCAGAAAGTGGAGTGGGGCCATTATTAATAATTTGGAAAAGGTGTAATAATTTTTGGGCAACGTTGGACGGTAAAGGGAGTTCATCGCACATTGAGATAATACCAATTAAAGTTTCTGTAAGAGAAACTAAGAGGGATTTGGTATCTGAAGGGGTATTAACATTATTGTTAAGAGCACAACCATTGGATAAAGAGGAAGAACAATTGCCAGTAATGGCTTGGTGTGCTTCTTTATCATATCCCTTGCCCAAAGGAGCCCTGGGACGTGATTGACGGACAACAGTTTGGCGGTATGATTTAGTTTGTGAAGGAGAAGTAACAGGTGAGTAACTTTGAGTAATGGAATATGCAGGAGGGGTAAACATTTCCTTAGCTACATCAGAGTAGGATCTTTGGACAGGAGGAAAGCGAGCAGAGGCTTCCATATAGGAAACATTATCTTGCGACATTATAATTTTGATAGATTGCTGTCTAGAAAACTCAGGACAATCCTTATCTATGGCAAAATGTTTGCCTGAACAATATAAACATGTCGAGGTATCTCTGGAGATATCACATGCATCCCCAGTATGTGGTTGGGCACACCTGTAACATCTAGGCCTTGATCGACACTGGGATTTAATGTGACCAAAGCGACAGCAGTTAAGACATTGAATGGTAGGAAGCTTGTAAGTTTCAACAGGTAAGGATGTGTGGTAGCAATATACTTTTTCAGGCAACATTTGCCCACGGAATGTTATAACAATAGATTGAGTTGGAACCCATGTAATCACACCCTCATTGACATTCTTTCGGTTCAGGCGTCGCGCTTTCATCACTGCTCCACAACCAGTAGGAAGTACTAACGACTCCACCAGTTCGTCCATTGACCAGTCTACTGGGACACCTTTAATAAGACCCATTCTTGTGACATTATATGTTGGGATAATTGCTACATATTTTGCCATAGATAAAAAAGGGTTGCTTATAAACTCATTTGCTGCCTGAGCAGAGGAAAATTGGACAGAGATTTTATTCCGGCCAACATTTTTAACACCATCATTAACTATAGATTGAATTTTGTTGTGGTGTAAAAATTGACCAAATTTAATAGCCCGTATAGTAGTTCCTGCTGCTGGGTCTGCAACTTCCCGTGAGACATGAACAATGTAAGGACCTTTGTCTTCGTTGGAATAGGATTTAAGACCATCAGACATACTAGGGTGGACATAAACATTTTGTATGGAAGGAGTGGCTGAAGTAGGATCAGTAATTGTTTTTTTTGTATTCTCTATAATCTCATTAATTTCACCTGGCCTCTTACGCGTAACAGGCCTTGCCACCAAACTAACATGACCACCTCCAGTGTCCGGTGGATCCGGAGGAGGGTCACCGTCCATTATACTAAACTAAATCTACAACTTAATTTAAAATACACACAACACACACAATAAAACTACTTACCGCCACCTACAACGCACAAATACGCACAAAACCAACTATTTCAATACTTTATATTACAAGAATCCTTATAAGAAAGGCCGAAAATCTCACTACACGTGTGTCAACCACAACAAACGGAAGCGAAAAACCATTCAATAGATTACACTTGATTAAATTTAATTCCAATCTGTCACTGTCATTAAGTCTATTTGTGTATAAAATTTTATCCACATCAAGTAACAAATATACACATAGGTATACAAACTTTCACCTTTACTTTAAACTAGCAACTCACCCTGGCTTCGCTCGGGTACCTAGATACGTTATAACGGTTAGTATGAAATACTAATCTTTTAATTTCTCGGCTTTTCTGTAATATAATATGCATGTATTATACATATAAACCTTCCTCTTGAATTATCTATTGCTGAAAACTGCATTAAAATCCGTTGAGTAGTTTAAAAGATCTAAGCGAACAGACAACGGAAGTGATTTTATTTCATACTATTAAATATACCTATAACAAGTCGGTACGGTCTATATAACATTTTAAATTTTAATACATCAAATAAACGACGACCTCCCTTTTTTATGTTGGGAAATGCATATTTTACGCATATCACCTGTAAGGCATACAGGTGGTTTTGTGGGACTCAACGGCTAGAAAAGCCAGTACTACCCACTAATACACAAAACATCCTCCCCCGTCTTAATGAGGCGTCGCAGGATTTCTTACGCACTCAACCATGTCGCCTCGCCGGTAGGTCTGCCGAAGCAAACCACAACAATCATGGGTTTGGTCCAACGGTCCACACTACATTTAGAGAAGTACCAGGAGCAACCTGCATGGTACACCGCCCACTGAAGTGGGATACCTTCCAGCTTTTTGACAGTTCATGTCAGACGCTAATATGCCCCCGCCCCCACTACGACAAGAAACGACGACCCCCTACTATCAACAAGCGAACCCCTAAGAAAACACATACCCCACTTTGAAAACCGTTGTCCTAAAATAAGCTTAAATAGGTACCTTGATAATAACGTAACAGATGTCGATACCGATAAATCAAATACACCGATAGTATTATTTATTATACTTACATATATCATATATAGGACTTCCACATGTGGTATGTCGTCGGTCATAGTTCGGACTTCAAAGACGCTCATTTTTACTTTTGACCTGCAAACCTTAAAAGACTGTTTATTGTTCATTTTTTTATTTATATGACATTATTATTTTCTCATTAACTTTCAACCGCGGCTCCACTCGCTTGTTCTGATATATTTTTGGCATGTATTCTGGAATGAATCCTATTGCGATTGTACACAGACAGACAGACAGACATATTTTATGATATATGGGAGTTTAGTTCAAATAACCGATAAATATGAAATATTTTTTCTTAACTAGCTAGCTAGGTATGGAGGTAACTAGTGTTAGATAGACTTTATGGGAGTAAACTTAAAAGGCCGACACAGAATTAAGCCTCTCAGTAATCTTTCTTTCCCAACATCTTTATTGGGCAAACGTGAGTCGTGAGTCAATATGGAACCCTCAGTGTGGGTTACGAGTCGTGGCCCACACTGAGGGTTCCATACAACCAAACAATTTGTTATTTAATATTTTTAATAAACATACCTAATTACAACTTAAGTAGAAAGTTAAATAAAATCCCATCAAAAACGTAAGATGTAAAAAAATGCAAGTCTCGCAACGCAGTTCTTCTACCGCAAAATGTTGTGACGTCTAATGTAAAACCAAGTCGTTTAATTTATTCAGTACCTATCTATGGAAGCATCTATCAAACTACTTTGTCATAAATTGTTACCTAATTACAATAGTAGTTAAATTACAACATTTTATAGTGAACATATCAATATTATATATGTATCTTTATTTCTTTAATATAAATAGAATGGTTGTTATCGTGTGGCGATTCGCACGAGACAACTATCTTCCAAAATACTATATTATAATGTAGGAACAATATTCTATGTTGAAAAAGATTCGAACATAAAAATATCAGAGGTGCGAGACCCGACAATTGAACTGACTTCATTTGGTTTCACAAGCTACATTAATGTAGTAGCCTAGACATAAAAGCATATTGTTCAAATACATTATGAGACCTATAACTTAAAATGTTATTTAGTTTTTTTTTTATATTTCTCCGAAGGCTATATTTAACTTGATCCTCATTTAACATGTTCTAGTTTGATACCAAAAACGATTATCGTCTGACCTCCAAACCTTCAAGAGCGAATCGGTATCACACGGTATGAATCATTAACAAAATATAACTCACTAGCAGAATCCGCGGCTTTGCTTGCTAGTGCGAAAGAAACTACTAAAAAAGAATCTCTAAAATGGTTTCATACAAACTTTCATCCCCTATTTTACCCCCTTATGGGATGAATTTCGAAAAATACGTATTTATTTAATTGTATTGAAGAGTTTTAGTATCAAGTTTCAAGTAATCCTGATCATAAATATTTTTTTGGGTTGTATTATATCGTGTTTTCCACTAGGAATGAGATAATTTCCCGAGTAGCTTATGTCACCTCCAGCATTCCTACTATCTCCACACAAAAATCCACACCATTCCGTCACTCTGTTTCGACGTAAAAGAAGGAGAAACAAACAAACAAACAAACAAACAAACAAACAAACAAACAAACAAACAAACTGACAGACAGACAGACATACAGACAAACAAATTCACTTTCACATTTATAATATTAGTATGGATTATGTATCTATGATATAAAACATTATTTTATGGTAAAATAATTTCGTCTTTAGATTGTCATATTTTTACGAATTAATAGTGTTACTTACCGTGTCTTTTATAGCTACCGGAGCTAAATGTTATTATCAGAACTTTTATAAAATAGTCATGTCCGTATGTCACTGTCATTTTACTGTATACTGAAGTAAAAAATTTCAGTAAGTTCTACAGTCAAATAAAAACAAGGGTTGGTGTCACCCCTTTTCAACCGACTTCAAAAAGGAGGAGGTTCTCAATCAACTGTATTTTTTTATTTCCTATTATTTATATCCATACATGTACTGAGGTGTTAAAAAATTACGTACGTGCACATTGTGGGCGTATCACGTGTGTGTCTCCCAAATTATTTACATTTGAGATAGATTAAAGAATGTAATTTCTTTATTTAAAACATTGCTGTCAAGTTATTTGCCTCTAACATAGTAAAGGCGTGTCCAAACATAGCGCGGCAATCGTGAGCGGCATGCCGCGCGCGATTTCCGCGCTGTGTTTGGACGGCCGCCGCGCACGAATGCCGCGTGTTGCTGCCGCGCGCGAACGAGGTTGCCGCGCGCGTAGTGTTCGTTCGTCAGTGAAGGTGTGTGGACGTAAACGATGGATAACGAAACGGCAATTCGACTTATTGAAATATATGGTTCATTTAATGCATTATGGGACACCAGGCGCAAAGAATATCATAACAATAATTTAAGAGAAGACATGTGGGATGAAATCGCAAAAAATTTCGAGCAACCGAAAGCAGTTCTAAAAACCAAAATGAAAAGTCTTTTAAGCTCATACAGAAGGGAGAGAAACAGAGAAAAAACGAGTAACATTACTGGTTCGGGTAAGTTTAATCTTTTATTTAATGATATTGATGAAATGACAATAAGTACTCCTACAGCAAACAATAACAAAATGAAGTACTTGTAACAAAAGATTCTATTCTACTTACATATAGGTATCTAAGTTAAATGTATACTGTGGTATATGTAGTTCTTGGAATTTACGTAACCGAGTGAGCTTTATTTGTGGTTACGTCGTGTACATGTATAATTGTGTAAGTGTGCGTGCCTGTCGGAGCCTAGGTGAGAGCGGTCAGGCGCATGCATTGCGCTCGCTCACATAATGATAGTAATATGGTTCGTACGCAGTTCGCACGTTTGTAATGCTCAACTAAGTATAGTACGTTTTTTCATGCACGACCCAAAATATAAATAAATATGGCAAACCGATTGAGTTTGACATTTCTTAGAGCGCAAAATCATTGAATGAATGTTTTTAATAAATCAATGAATTAGTGCAATTACGTAGATTGAATAATTTTCGAAATACGTATAATCATCATCGAAATATTTTGGTTAAAATATGTGACCGTTGTAAAATATGTTTAACGGTCTGATCAGCTGGTAAACTAGACTGATGGTCGTGAGTTTATACACACATGTTTAGGAAAGTATTTCTCACAAGCAGATGGATATAACAGAATTGACACTTTTATTGTTACAGATAGAAACAAGGCCTACAAGTCTAAATGGTTTGCCTACGAATCTTTCCACTTTTTGCATGATAGGGGTAATCCTATTGACACAGTGGTAAGTACGCTAATTTCATACATACATTCATGTATAACCATACTAATATTATAAATGCGAAAGTGTGTTTGTTGGTTTGTCCTTCAATCACGCCGCAACAGAGTTACGGATCGACGTGATTTTTTGCATAGGTATAGCTGAGGACCTGGAGAGTGACATAGGCTACTTTTTATCCCGGAAAATCAAAGAGTTCCCGAGGGATTTTAAAAAATAAATTCACGCGGACGAAGTCGCGGGCGTCATCTAGTTTCTCATAACGTAATTATTTAATATCTATCTTGCCAAATAATCGACCCGTTTGCCATAAAATGTTCTGCCAAAAAATTACGAATATCGGTTGGAGTGCCACCTATACATTCGTTCGGTGTTAAAGTAACTGATTCATTCATTGAGTTATTAGAGGTTGTTATTGAAGAGCTGTTTCGAAGAAAATTATGCAAGTGAACAGCAGCTAGAACTACCTTTTTAGCTGATGTTGGGTTTAACATAATTGCATTTCTCAGTACTCTAAATTTAGACGCCAAAATACCAAAAGCATTTTCAACTACTCTACGTGCTCTCGATAGTCTGTAGTTAAAAATCCGTTCTTTAGACCCTTTTGAATGAATTCCTGCAAAAGGTGTCAACATATATTTAGTTAAAGCAAAAGCTTGATCTCCTAATATGACATAGGGTACTTTTGTTGTGTAGGGTATATTTAAAATTTCTGGTGCTGGTACATTAAGTTGATTATTTTCTAACTTTCGGTACAATTCACAATGTTTAAAAACGCCTCCATCTGATATTCGACCTTGACTTCCAACGTTAACGTACATAAAATTGTAATTTGAGTCTACTAATGCTAAAAGTACAATACTAAAATATTTTTTATAATTGTAATACTCGGTGCCGCTTCTAAAAGGAGCCTGAATAGTTATATGTTTTCCGTCCAAAGCACCGATGACATGTGGGAAATTCCATTTTTTCCTCGAATTCTTTAGAGACTATCTTCCAATCTTGTTCCGATACTGGTAACTGAAAAATATAAAGTTCACATTAAAAAAATGCGAAATTTATCTTAACACGGGTGGGGGTGGGTAACCTCAAAGAATCGCGTGGAAATCTAACTACGACATTCTACGACAGATATAAATGAAAACAGTCGGACATCATACGAAAGCATTTTAGTCCTAGCTGAAACGGAGACACTTCTTAAATCCCAAAGACTATACCTATATTCTACAAACACAACTAAAAATCGTTGTTTTGATTACAGGATTGTGGCTCATCGTCGCAGTCACATAATACAGAACAAGGAGCTACAGAACAAGGCGCTACAGAACAAGGCGCTACAGAACAAAGCGCTACAGAACAAGGCACTTCAGAACAAGGCGCTACAGAACAAAGCGCTACAGAACAAGGCACTTCAGAACTAAATATGACTAACATGAATACTGCATCTACGATTCCAACTAAAAGGAAGCCAACAAAGAGAACACACGAAGATCCGGAGTATGATGCCGAGAATAAAATGTTAGAAGATGCATTGGAAGAAATGCGAAAACAAAGCGATAACAGCAACGATTTATACGTTGCTTTTGGCATGCACGTAGCGGCAGAGTTGAGAAAATACGATCCCATAACCTTAGCAAGAGTAAAACATTCCATAAATACTATAATATTTGACGCTGATATGGCATGTATAAACCAACTCAATCAGTCTACAATTCAAGAAAACGATGAAAGAAGACCAGGTTATTTTACTACACGTTATACCGATATCTCCAATACGGCATCCTCTAGTGACTCTAGTATGGGATCCGGACTTACACAATTGATTAACGATTTGAATACTGAGAATAGTTTATAATTAAATAGTGATTGTTTCATTTTTATTGTCTGCACATTAAACATGCAAATATTTATGATTGATTAAAAACTTAATAAAAATAATGTAAGTAATAAAGTTGTTCTTTTTTACCTTTATCACATCCTTCAGAGCTTTCACTAGGGCATCGCACACCTCTGGGACTATTTTTGAGATTGTTTGCTTTGACACGTGAAATATATATTGTAGACTAGTATATGAGTCTCCTGTGGCCAAATATCGCAAAGTTATTGCGAGTCTCTCTTTCGTCGTTATTGCTACACGCCAGTGTGTATCAGTTTTTTTAATAAATGGTTCCACCAGTGTATGTATATGTTCAAATTCTTCCAAGGTCAATCTTAAAAACTGTGTTGTTCGATAGTGGATTTCATAATTAATCACTTTCAAATTCTTTACCCTCTGTTGGAAAAGTGGTCGTATCCAGCATTGCCTTGTTTTTTTCAGTCTCTTCCTTCTGCGTAATTTTCGAATAATAAGTAGAGCTACAACACACGCGGCCGCTTTCATTTTGGATCGAATGCAAACTGAGAGCACAGCGTGTCTAGGACATGCCGCGCAGTATTGCCGCGCACACATTTCTGGGATGTCTACACTAGTCGCGCATCAGAGCTGTGTCTCGCGATTGCCGCGTGTTGCTGCCGCGCACTCGCAGCGCTATGTTTGGACACGCCTTAAACAAAACGATGTACACTAATTATTGCCGGCGGCTCCGCGTGAACATTAGAAATACTGCAATAAAAATTTAATCTTTCATCTACTTGACATGATTTTGTATGTAGGATCGTAAAGAACAGAGCTAAGTCTATGCGGTAGATCAAAACATAGTAAACTTTTTAATTTAAAGTAGGAATACAACATATCCATTAATGATTTTTGAGAATGAGGTGTAGTTATACAGACGGACAAAAAAAATGAAAATTATTGTTTTGGCTTCCATTACATTCGAAATACGAATTCTAAATATATGTGTGTATTCAGCCCTTTTTATCGTCCCACTGCTGGGCACGGGCCTCCCTTCAGTACGAGGGGAATAAAATAAAAAATATATGTATTAATGATTTTTGAGAATGAGGTGTAGCTATACAGACGGACAAAAAAAATGAAAATTATTGTTTTGGCTTCCATTACATTCGAAATACGAATTCTAAATATATGTGTGTATTCAGCCCTTTTTATCGTCCCACTGCTGGGCACGGGCCTCCCTTCAGTACGAGGGGAATAAAATAAAAAATATATGTACTTATAACTAAAACCACGGTAATCCATATCCATACTAATATTATAAATGTGAAAGTCTGTTTGTTTGTTTGTTTGTTTGTTTGTTTGTTTGTCTGTTTGTTTGTTTATTTGTTTGTTTGTTTGTTTGTCTTTCTTTCACGTCGAAACGGCTTGGCGGATTGGTGTGATTTTTGTGTGGAGATAGTTTACTTTTTACCGCGGGAGATTATCTCTTTTCAATGGGAAAACACGTTACAATATAATTTAAAAATATATTTTTAAACAGAATTATTTGAAACTTGGTATAAATGCTCGTCAATACAATTAATTAAATAAGTGTTCTACTAGCATTTTTCGAAATTTATCCCATAACGGGCTAAAATAGCGGATAAAAATTTGTATCAAACCTACCATTTTTGAGTTTTTTTTGTAGTTTTAGCGCGAGCAAGCCGTGGGTTCTGCTAGTGTTACATAAACATTACCGTGCCAAAATATTCAAAATCAAAATCACTTTAAAATATGTAACTATATTAATTCACTATAAAGGATAGATTTGTTTAATTTTCACGAGATTTTACTTTATATCCCATAAAAGCTTGTTCAAAAAAATAATCATGAAAATCCGTTGATAAAATTTGTGGAGATACAACGTAACATACGCAAAAATGACAAACAATTCTTTCCTTTTTTTTAAAGTCAGTCCAAAACGTACATAAAACTAGGGATTATAAAATAGTAAGTAATCTATAATATATATAATATATATAATATACTCTTTCACACAAAAACTACTGAATGGATTTTATTGAAACTTTACAATAATATAACTCGTACATTAGAATAACACATAGGCTACTTTTAATCCCGGAAAAATGTACGGTTCCCGTGGGATAGATTCGTCTTTGTTCTCGTAGCGATGATGAGACGGTAGTATCAATAATCTTTTAGTGAAAAAGAAAATTTATACATGGAACATAATTCTTCTCTTCTTTTTTAAGTTGTTTAGAAGTATAATATCACTTGGATAACATAGCAAGTAGGAAATAAAATGAATTGAAAACTCCAAACTTCGTCCCGACCCGAGTAGCATCGCACGTAAGGTATGAGACCGGTCGCATCGCGGTCGACCGTTAGCTGCCCACGTGTAGCTGCGTTAGCGCAGACGCCTGGGTTTGCTCGTACCCAACTAGTAATATAGTAAGTAATATGTATGTGTGTATGTTTGTTACTTCTTTACGTTGAAACGGCTGGATGGATTTGGATGAAATTTTGTTCACAGATAGACTATGACTTAGGAAACCGTGCGAAGCGAAGATAAGTTACTAGTCTATCTATGTAAATACATAATAATGAAATGCTGTTCTGTTGTGTTTTGTATCAGTCAAAGCACTATTATGTATACATATAATAAAAGTGTATTGATATAAAAGTGTGTGATCGCTGTCTGTATATGGAAGATATTTGATAAAAACTATTATTGGGGGTCTTTATTTACGCAATAGAACCCAAAACAATGATTTTTGTAATTTTTGTCTGTTAGTCTGTGCGTTTGTGCGCGCTAATCTCAGAAACGGCTGAATCGATTTGGATGCGGTTTTCACTAATGTATTATGGTAAGCTTTACTTAATATTTGATAATACTTTTTTAGATTTACGCGAATATTTGACATTTTAAATAAAACAATTTTTGTTGATTTTTTCGCTAATGTATACAATTTATAATAATATATTTAGTATTGGTTTTATTTCAATCGGTTCATAGATAAAAAGTTACGTCAATTTAAAGAATCATTTAGGGACGAACCCGAGCGGAACAAGGTGAGTCGCTAGTCTTTTAAATATTCGTAATAATTTGAGACAGGTACCTATTTATAGAACTTTTTTTTGAAAGTAGCTCGGAAAATTGGAAAATTCGAAATAAATGGTGTTTAGAATATTTTATCAACTCGAACCTGAAGAACCTTTTTTTTCTTTTTTTTTTAACGTTGGGAAATGCATTTACGCACGAGGTGTGGGACTCACCGGCAAAGCCAGTACTACCCATTAAAACCCAACAAAGCCTTCCCCCGTCGTAATGGGGCGTCGCAGGATCGCTTACGCATTCAACTACGGCGCCCCGACGGCAGGTCTGCCGAAGCAGACCACAACAACCACGGGGTTGCTCCAAGGTCCACTCTGCTATCAGAGAAGTATCAAGAGAAACCCGCATGGTACACCGCCCTCCGAAGAGGGCCACCTCCCACCGCCCACCGAAGTGGGCCACCCACAGAAATCTTAATAATAAGGTAATTATTATTAAGATTTCTGTGGGGCCACCTCCCTGTGCGTTATTTGGCTTCGCGCTAGGCTGTATTGCCGGGCACTACTGAGCCCCCCCACAACGACAAGGTGAACGCACGTTGGGGGGGAACCTGAAGAACCTAGTCTACCAGCATCAGCCAACTTTTTTTTTAATAATCAATAATTATCAATTTTGTGCAGCTTTTTAGTGGTAAAATATCATTAGTTTATATAAATACTGCCACTGTACCAAACCAGACGGTCATTAAATTATTGAATTTTACTACTAACCACTTGGGAGAATGTTGGGTTTAATGGAATAGCGGACTATAAACACGTAAGTATATTCATTTTAACTAAACTTGTAAAACTTTATAGTATAAGTTATCCTGCAGAAAACCTTTTATATTGACCATAACAAGGGTTTAGGGTCTAAGCACACTACGTTTTAGAAACGCACCGACGCGAGTGACGTGAACGCAAGTCGTTCCCGTGTATTCTGCACTGATAAACTTAATAAGGCATATCTACACAACGTATCATAAACGCACCGAACGCAGTATTATAAAAGAACGTTGTCAATGCAAAAAAAGCAGATTATTTGCGTTTCTATCGATACAACCGTAAGCGTATAATGCGCATCGAACGCATGATAAAATGTCGTGTGCATATGCCCTATATACTTAGGTCAATTTATTTTTTAACCTCTGTTATCTACTAGTAGCAGTAACCACTTGAATTAGAGATTACTAAATTGTATTTTTTTTAAACTCATCGTTATTTATTGTAAAAAGATAGCCAGTAAAATTCAAAGGTAATGTATTTTTCTATTATTGAAAGAAATTTGAGAATAGCATAAGTTATTCTGGATCATACCTTTGTTCATTCAAACTTTTTTTTTGTATAAGTATAGTTTCTTGAAACTATAGAACCTTAACTTTAAATCGAAACCAATTATAATGTACGAAATTCGTGAAAAAAAAATGTAACCAAACTCCCAGGATTTACTTGAGCAATCAAAGAGGCTCTGTCATCAGCCAGTTCGATGAAGTTATTGGCATTCGATGCTCACTATACAGTGACGTAACTAATTATTGGGCCCCAATGCAAAAAAATATGGATGGGGCCTATTATGCCTATTATGAAATAAAATGTACAATTATTCTTGCGTTTTTTTAACTTCTATGAGGTCTTCGGAAAAATGTTTTCCGAAATAAAAGAAACGTTTGGGGCCCCCTTAAATCAGGGGCCCCATGTGACCGCATTACACATACAAAGTTACAAATCGAAATCGTTACGGCTGAAATTATTTTAATTAGTAATACGAAAAAATGTTTTATAAAACGTATGTATAAAAAAAAAGTTTGTGAAATAAATTAAAGGGAATGGAAAGATCGCAGCATAAATAACTTTACTAATACTTAGAATCAAATATATAAAGTAGGTTAAGTTGTTGAGATATAAATAAATAAATAATACAA